CCCCAAAACCCCAAAACCCCAAAACCCCAAAACCCCTATTTAACTTAACTCTATAGAGAATTTATAGTGTAAAATTAAATATGAATAATAATCAACAAAACCCTAATTGGAATCCCAATAATCAGGAAGGGCAAAAGGCTAATATGCCTTCAGAAGGGAACTCTAACCCTCAAATGAACATGCAAAATATGCCAGGAGGCAACATGCAAATGAACCCAAACATGATGGCTTATGCTATGCCTAACTATATGAATCATATGCCAATGGGAGGGATGTCTCATAACCCAAATATGGGAGGTGTAATGTACCCAAACGGATCTGGAATGATGCCTCAAGATGGCAACCAGATGCAAAGCAACAACCCCAATGATCAGAACAATCCAAAGGCTGAAGACAGCCAAAATAACAATCAAACACCCGCTGGAAATGACGAAAATAATCAGAATCCAACTCCAGAGCCCCAAGTCGAGAAGAGGGATCAAAATCCTGAAGGTGAAGTAGCTCCTGGAGGAGAAGGTAAAGCTCTTGATGAAAATGCAGTCACTCAAGGAGCCATTCAGGAGAACTCTCAACCAGCTGATCAGAGACCTAATATCCAGTCTCAACAGAATATGGGTGAGATCTCAAAGGAAAACAGAGAAGAAGGAGATGAGGGTGAAGATGGAAAATACAATTTAAGAAAAAGATCCAGAAAAGAACTTCCCGCATACTATTGTGAGCTATCAGATGATGAAAACAAGGCTAATGGAAACCGTAAAAGGCCAAAGAAGGGAGAAGAAGACTATGATCCAAATCAAGATGAAGAGAATGATAATAGACAGGGAAAACAACAAAACAATCAAGATATGGGCAATAATCCCGGGGGAAATTTTGGAATGCAGAATCAGATGAATCCTGCAATGATGCATCAAATGATGATGCAGCAGATGTCAGGTAATCCCGGAATGGGAATGCCTAATGTGAATGATGTTAGTGCAAATCTAAACAACATGAATAACATGATGGCATCACAGTATCCTCAGAACCCAATGGGTCAGCAAAATTTCCCTAATTCAGGACAAGTAAGTAAAGTTAATCCTAATAATGGTTATTGGGTTCTAACTAAAAGTTTAAATTTGCTCATAATCTTCGTGTCATGGCATTAGTATTTAAAGTTATTCCTAGGAATTTTCCACTTGAGAGCTATAGTTAGTTAAGGCTGTTTCGAATAATTCACCTAAAATCTTTAATTTCATAATTTCTTAAAACCTCCTAATGAAGAGATAGAGGGTCGAGATGTTATGTGTATATGCCTTAGAATTCATCTAAAACAGGCTGTTAACTTTATATTGTCCTACTATCTTCCATAAAAAATTAGAGTTTTGAAGAATTTTTGAATTTCATAATCACGGGTTTTTGGAGATTTAGTAATATTTTTCGAATATGGTCTTAGATATTTTAGAATAACACCCAAGTCCAAGAGAAATCAGGAGGATGTAACGGAGCTAAAGAAGGACCAGGAGGTATTTGCACTCACTGCAATAAGCCTAAACCCCCTCCAGAATTATTAGCCCAAATCCTTAGTTTGCAGAATAATAGGACCGCACAGATGATGCAAGGCATAAACGACCCCTCCTCATATATGGCAGGAGGTGGATCAGTGGTGCCAGGAATGGGAGGAAATGGATTTAATGGTGGTTCCGCAAATCCAACTCCAGGAGGAGCAGCTCAAAATATGTAAGTCCTTTCATATTTATTGAATAGGAGTGGAGGCAATAACTATGATACAAGCAACGCAAATCAGTATACAATGCAATCTACAGGAAATGCAGGGCAAGCTAACTCAGCCCAACAAGATCCTTCTAAGATGCAGAATAATTCAATGAACCAGCCAGGATACAACATGATGGAAGGAAGAAATGGAGGAAATTCTATGCCAGCTGGAGGATCAGGTCAAAACTTTGACCCAAATAATTTCCCAGGCAGTAATCAAATGGGTATGAATCCAATGATGGGAGGCTTCCAAAATATGAATCAGTTCCCACCAGGAGGTAAGGTTCTAATCGCTAATTTTTAGCTGGAGGAAACGGGATGAATAACATGGGATTCCCATCCAATTACTCAATGAATAGTACAGGAACAAACCAGAATTCCCAAGGAAATAATCAGAACCTAACACCAGAGCAGATGCAACAGATGATGCAAAGACAAATGATGCAAGGAGGAGGCCAGTGGATGAACAATATGAATCCCGGAGGAAACTAATACTGTTTTTCATAAATTTAACTATAAATATTGCTTCTCTTGTTATAATTAGTTTTAGAAGCATCCTCTACAATGCAGATGCTATCATATAAAGGGGAAAATGCATTGTATTAGAAGGAACTTTGTTGGTGGAATTATTAGTCCCAAACCAATGAGATATGCCATAGAAGCATGGAAGACTACTTGGGAAAGTTTCATTCTAATCCTTAGAAGCTAAGTTAATATGAGCACGATGAAATAAGAGAGTAAAGCCGTTGTTTATTACAGAAAGATGAATGTGAAAGTTTCAATAAATTTTCAACACTAGGGGTTTTGGGGTTTTGGGGTTTTGGGGTTTTGGGGTTTTGGGGTTTTGGGG